AGCTGCCGGCATGGACGCCAGCCTGCACGGCTCCCTGTGCACATTTGCGGTGGCTGCGGAGGGTGGCCGGCCGGCTGCAGGTGGCCCAGATGCCCCCGCTCGCGACGTCACGCTAGTCCAGGCCGTCGCTCCTTGTGCACCATGCAGAAGGGGTATTTGTGACCAGGCTTCCACGAGAGTTCACGGGCTGGCCCCAGCTGGCCTTATCCCCCTAGTTTGGGCCCAGTGGGCGACCTGAGCATGGTGCAGCCCTGTCCATGGTCCTGGGCCATGGGGGCCTGCCCTGGGTCCTCACCATGCCCTACCCCAGGTGATGGCTCCGTGGGCTAAGGGACATGCCCACCCAAGCCTGCACAGCTCCGAGAAGCCGCATTCCAGGATCTGGGACCTGGGGTGTGGCAGAGTCATCCCTGGAGTCAGCTCCAACTGCAGGAAGCCAGCCTTGCAGGACACGGCATGGACAGGTCGATGTCCCCCACGACGTGACAGTGGCTTTAATCTTAGAGCCTGGTCTGTGGGCCTGCTGTCCCTGATCATACTCGGGCTCTGGGTCTCAGAGCCCCTCAGACATGCATCTGCCCAGGCCCCCAGCATACCCTCCCTGGTACCCCTGGACCTGGCCTGGCAGTGAAGGATCTCAGCTGGTCCTCGGAGCCCTCGAGAACTGGCCCTACCTACCCCACACAGCCCTTGCTCCGGCCATTCCAGACCTCTCTGGGTCTCTGGTCAGGGCACAGCACAGGCTGGGACAAGGGCTCAAAGAGACGTGGAGAAGCTGGCAGAGGCTGGATTTGGGTGAGCCCAGCTGGTGGAGCAGAGGGACTGCAGTGTCCTTCCCTGGACATGGCACCGCTCTGAGGCAGGTGGCGTGGCCACAGGTGCCTTTTGGAAAGGAGTCTGGCACCTCCTCTCCCGGGCCCTCCATTTCTGGTCCCCACTGTTCACACCCCACCTCTCCCGTCTTGCTAGCCTCCTCCTCCCTAATCCTCTTCCCTAGTCGTGAGATTCCTGGACACAGGAGGAAGAAGGGAAGGAGGTGACAGGCCTTCGGAGGAGCAGGCAGAGAGGACCACCTGCCCTGACCCGTCGAGGGCAGGGCCCAGCCAGATGAGGCAGGTGGGCCAGCCAGGGGTCTTCCTGGTCCTTCCCGCTGGCATAAATGCATGGAAGCCCCCCTGCGGACTTGGAAGAGGCTCAGTCCTGCGGGAGGACTGGGAGCTCCGGAGTGCCCCCCGCCCCGGTTGGTGCACTTGGGCCCGGCTCGTCCAGTACAAAGGAAGGGAAGCATGGCTGACGCGCGCCCGTGCGGCATGATTTTTGGGGAAAGGGATGGACTGGGATGGTAAGCAGCAGGTGACACCGACTGGTGGCATACTGTGCCAGGCACAGTGGCAAGCCTGACACGTACAAGCTGGTTCACTTGCCTTAGTGGCCCTGTGGTGGTGGCGCTGTTTTAACACCCCGTTTCACAGACTGGGAAGACCAAGGCACAGAGACTGAGCGGCTTGCCCAAGATCACACAGCTGGCAGGTGGAGGAGGACAGCCTTGGACCCAGCGGTCAGAGGCCAGAGATCTGCCCTTCGCCACCCCTCTGCCGTGGAGCTTCTGCCCCATTTGGGCAGAAATGTGGGCACCAGGCCTACTTTAAGGTACTCTGGGCGCCATTCCAGCTGCCCCGGCTGTACCCCAACAGCCACCTGGTTAGCCCAGGAGGTGTCCTCTGGCTGGAAGCCGCGTGGAACACCACACCTGCAGGGGACCCGCCTGGCTGCCCGCACATGCCTGGCCTCGCCACCTGCAGCACGACTACTGCGGTTCCGGGCCTGGCCCGGCTCCCCCACCCCAGCTGGCTTCCCACTGCAGTGGACTGGACTGGCTCGACGGGGTGAGGGCGAGGCCCGGGAGAAAGGGGAGGCCTGTCTGCACCCCCTCTCACTTCCAAGCGTGTAGCTCTGGGGTTGTGAGCAGCCAGGTCGGTCCGAGTGGAGGCTGAGGCCATTGCTGGTAGCGGCTTGGCGGCTGTGCTGGACTGCGGGTGCCACTTGGACTGCCCCCTCCTGGCTGTGACTCCAGACAGCTCCCACTAGCTCCCTGGGGAGCTTTGTCCCCTCCCTCT